GGAACAGAATAGTGTTTCGAAGATGTAAAAGAAGCAGACAGACACAAAGGTAGATAAAAGGTGAGGTGAGTACTGTGAAAGTGGTGGAATAGGACATACAGTGGGGTGATGGTAGTTTGAAGTCAGAAGTCAACTACTAGTTAATAGACTTTTTGCCGTATGAGTATACGTTGCCCAGGGTGCACCACGTGGAGGAAAGTCTATCGCACACCCCTAGTCTTGATTATGCCTTTTTTCAAAAGCTCACTTTTAGCTGGAATTTACACTCCAAGCCATTCCATTAACAGATCAGTTGGTTGGCAACCGGCAAATACTGAGGAAAAGATACATTGAGTAGGACATTATGAGCAGATATTGGCGATATGCCACACAAGCACATTCATTCAATAAAATCCAAATATTTTTTTGCAATATTGGTATTATTCTCTCGTTCACTCAAAAGCATCCTGTTTTAGGAAATCGTGAATTATAACGGTGCTCGTGTTCCATCCATCGATCTCTAGTCAATGCTTCTAATTAATAATAGATAATAATGATAATTAATTTAAATTAATATATGGAGATTATATTTTACTCTTTTTTAATTGTGACTAAAACATTCATATTTTGCCCAATTTTACATATCTCCATGACTAATTTGACTCCTTATGTCGCTAAAATTAATAATTTCTTCAAAATGCCTATCCATAGTAAAATTTATTTATTGAAATACCAGTATCTGAGATTGAAATTTAAATTTTTACACCTACATCGGTAGGCATTTCGCCAGTATTATTGGAACTAAATCCTAGATCATTGTACACAAATAACTACTTTTCCATCCTCTGGACTAATTACATGTAACTACGCGACCATGACAGCGTAAAAGAAGGAGAAAGTGTTAAAATATTTATCTTTTAATCTCAAAACACCTCCAGTTATTTGAAAAGTGACGTCAGAAGCAAAGGGCATTCTTTAGCCAAATGGACGAGTGAAACGTCGACGACTCACATACATTGGCTCATCAAGACCTCCTGAAAGTAGAAAAAATCACAAAATATTAGTAAATATGAAATTCTACAAAAGGGAAGTAATTCATTTTCTCCGATAAAAAAGTTCTCAACTGGAAAACCATGGGCAGGTAGGAAAATAGTTGTAATTGGAATTGCCACATTACCCTTCAGGCATAAAACTATTCGCTAAATTATATAAATCTTAACTTATTCCAGATAACATTTGTTTTAGACCCAATCGGTTCGATGTATTTTGAGCTGATTCAAGAGTCAAAGAATTCGTTAACTCATTAACTTCTATGTCACTGTATAAATACAAAAAGTAATTAACTTTTAAACGTGTGTTCTCACCTGCTCTTTCTTCTGAAAAGCCCCCAGCAAGGTATTCAAAGAGAATATCGATTTTCTGGTTTAATTCAGCGCAAGTAGATTCCATGCCGGTGGATGGCGTTCGGCCTTCGACAAATACAAATATCGAAGAAAGACTAACCAAGAGTATAGCGGTTACATATGGGACGACTGTCATTCTAACATAAAAAACACAAAAATTTAAATGGTAGTCCAACTATTCAATTAGAATTTCATCTTTAAGAGTGTTTGAGCATATTCAAAAAACAATTGAGCTTTAAGAAGAATGAGTAGTAATCGGGATATTGATATAACAATAAAGATGTCTGAAAGAAAAAAACAGAAATGATCGTAAATTATGAAAAAAACACCTTGACATATTCAATATTTTCCTCCTTAATTATTATTTAAACTAAAGTTTTCTTTTTATAGGTATTATAAACATAGTGAATGAGGAAAGAACCAATGAAAATTAATCATAAGTTCACTATTTCTCTTGAATTGTATAAAATGTTTCATTTTGATTAGCCAATCAGAAAGCGCAACAGTCTATTTAATCATTGGTTAGATATGTATCTTTCGATTTACATTACTTCCATGAACAATTTATTTGAAAATATGAAAAAAAATGAATTAATTTTTAAATTAAATTTTTAAAGATTGATTTCGAATTGTATTTTTCTCGACAAGAAAAATAATGGTGCCAAATTAGAATCGCTAGTTATACGTTTATGGTCTGTTTTAGGAGAATTAGTGGCTGACTCGTTTGTACAAAATTTTGTCTTAATGTTACTTGGCAAGATAATGCATTGTTGATTGCAATCGATTCACTTTTTTATCAAAGCGATCTAAGTGTACCCTCAGCACATTCACCTTAAGAGATTATGAGTTACATCACACGTTTTTTGTTAGAAGGTAAAATAATTAGCAGCTCACTAGTAAGGAAATTTGAAAAATGAAATTTGATTTAATACATAGACTGAAATCGGCAGCATGGGGGCCAGCTTACTTCGCGGAATACCTGTGGGCCACATGTCTTTAATACAAGCAAGAGTGTTTAAGTTCGTGCTGTAAAGATGATTAATCAATTACTTTTCATATCTTCGGTTAATTTGTGTGCTTTTTGTTCATTCCTTTTCTAGTGATTTGTCATTATGCATTAAAAATTAATTTTTCTTACTTTCCATGAGTCGGTTTTTTAACGTTAACAGAATTAACTGCCAGGGGAAATATTAATTCATTTCAAATGGCAGGCGTTTTGATAATTATCATTAGCCCTTTAGCTGCCTTCGCAAATGGCAGGCGTTTTGATAATTATCATTAGCCCTTTAGCTGCCTTCGGGCTTCACAGAGGGGAGGAATATTAAAGTGAGATAAAGTCGAGAGGGAGAATAGAAGAATGGATCAAGACAGACGCAAAGGTAGTTATAGGGGAAAGATAATTCTATTATGGTTTCAACCCATGCTCTGCAATTTTTGTGCACAGTAAGTTCAGTTTTGCTCATGGAGGGTTCAAATAAATATCTCCTCAAAAAGAACTTACTATAACTCCCAGAAAAACCCAGAGTGAATGAGTCTAGTCATGTTCGCATGATTTCATATTGTGTCAATTACACTCCATTAGAGTGACATACAGGCACATGTACAAGGTCAGGTCAATGTTAATTAATTCCTCATATCTAAAAGGGAGTTTAACTTGTGGTATGATATGTGATATCCCGCTTACCACAGGCACAAATGTCAAAACATTTTAGAATGAATGCACGTAGAAATGTCAAAGCAACATTTTAGATAACAGGGGAAAAAAGCCAAAAAAATAGGCTAATTGGAACAAGGAGTTATTGAATTAACTAATTGGAATAATTTGAGGCTAATCAAAATACACGATATGGGATTCATTTTAAGAACTTATGTTTCTTTTCACCGTTTATTCTAGACATTCCTTAAAATATATTATTGGCTAATCCTAGTGTCTGATAATAACTCTACCTCGATTTAATTAATTATTCTTTTTAATACAAAAAATGTAAAACAAAAAATTGTTCGATTTATTTGTGTTAATCTTTTTCCATTCTAATTGCCAATGCACACTCACTTGTAAATCAATATTTTTTGCAATTTTCCTTGATTTCCGTTCTTTCTGACACGTTAGGAGCTTGGAGAACTTTCCGAGTTAACGTTCAATTTTACTCCAACTGTAACAGGTTTTAAGGTTTTTTATTTCAAATGCAAAGTTTTAGCGAATTGTAATTTTGAGTACATATCCGGGCTGGATAATTCCTTAGTATAGTGGGCCAAGGCAGATGTATGAAAATAGAGGAAGAAAGACTGACCAAAAAAATTTTTAAAATCTGGAATTCCAGTGCGTAGACATCACATCATTTACCATTGAGGGAAGGTCCAAGATTGACGTCATTAAGTAACCTGAAAATTAGTCTTCTCTGACTTCATTCCACCCCCCCCCTTCTCCCTCAACCACACCTTTCTCCAATCAACTTTTGTTTACATTTTTCAACACTTTTCGTCTTGATTATAATGCTAAGTTTCTACTGGATACTGTTGGCGAACCGTACTTCTGCTACATCTTTGGATGGATTTTAATTTCTTCCAACTCACTAACTGGACAATGATTGCATTATTCTCGATAGAGTTTCTCCAACTTTTATCTTCCCCAATCGTCCCTCCTCCCTCCCCACTCTAGAAGTGGTTGCAGCAGATCCGATCACTTTAGTCATCTAGTGTACCGTGCAATTAGTAAGGGTGTTAGGGAACTTCGAGTTGACTCGTTTAGACAGGGGAAAGGCAAGTGGAGTAAATAAGTTATTAATGATGAAATGTGTGCTAAAAAAACGTTACCAAATAAAGTTTATTGTACTCATTAAAACGCAATGAGGTCAAGGAAATAGCGTGTAGCAGTGCTGGAGCGATTCGTGCCAAGAGTTCAATATGTGCGGAATCTGTGCGTCAATAGACTTTATAATCATCAATAAAGTTTGTAGTTGAATCAGGCAATACGTTTTTTCTATTCTTCATATTGTTGGATAAAGTGAATTATTTTATTTAAGAAAAAAATATAGCAATAAAGCTCACAAACTTTGATGTTATTGTAACCTAAAATACAACTGATATGCATTAGCAATTATTCTAACAAAATGACAATTCAATTTTAAGTGTTGTTGTATTTAGATTTTCCACCAACTTAAAGTGTTTGCAATAAAAAAGAAAAAAGTTTGTTCATTATTTTTTTGTTAATTCTTTTTTTCAAAATTTGTTTACATGAAATTAATTTAATCCCTTGTGAATCAAAAAGGTTACAACTCTACTCTATTTGCGGTGCCTCGATAAAAGAGCATATTCTACAATATTACAATACAATACCCCTTTGAGAATTTTTGAATTTCAACATTTTTGTATTTTTTTCAATGTTTTGTAGAAATTGTTTTATTTTATTATTTTTAAATAACGTTAATGTCATTATCATTTAATACGAGAAATGAAAAAGTTACAACATCACTTAAAATTCATAATTGACTTACCAAAAGCTAAACGTATAAAATCAGCTGATTAGAATAATGATATACCTAACAGAAAGATCGTTTAAAAAAGTGATATTTCCCGTCCATGGAAGTGTGATGGAGAAACTTTCTTTGATTTTATTTGATTTATTTATTTATAAAAAGGGCAGTCGAGTGGGATTTAAGAGAAGAGGTTCTAACAGAAATGAAAATCTTACGAAACTGAACCGTTGGATTCAGGTGTTACGTCTTATCTGTTTCGCGCATTTTCAAAATTAAATATCCGAAAAGAGACATTTTTTCTCGGGTGAAATCATGCTCCCTAAGCCTTCAACTTATCACGATTTTGGCAAGACAGAGACCAATTGAGGAGAAATATAATTGGAAGATAATGAACGATTATTGATAAACTGCTCAGACTGAAATAGTTTTCGCATTTTGCTTATCTTTGTATCGTAAATTTGCCATGCCCAAAAGAAATCAATCAGGGTGTGTGCGAAAGATTTTCCATTACGTGGTGCACCCTGGGCAACGTATACTCATGCGGCAAAAAAGTCTATTAGCTGGCAGTTGACTTCTGACTTCAAACTACCATGACCCCACTGTTTGTCATATTTCACCACTTCCATAATTCTTACATCACTCTACTTTCTACCTTTGTGACTGGCTCCTTTGCATCTATCAATCATTTCTGTTCTTCCTCCCTTCGACATTTTGTGACGGATATTGCTGCTCTCTGTGAACCTCGAAGTCAGCTAAAGTCTTCCATTAGATATAAATATAAATCAAATCCAAAAGTATTCTATTGATGCACTTAAATAATAAATGAAATTAATACCAGTTAACTTTTCTTTTAAGGTATAACATTTATTTATTTTATTCACTTATTTACTTATATCGAATGGCGGGCGTTTTGATGGTTATTATTAACCCTTTAGTTGGCTTCAGGCTTCACAGAGGGGAAGGAACATCAAAATGAAAAAAATGCCGAGGGGGGGGGGAACATAAGAGTGTTTCAAAGACGAAGGTGGTAAAGGTAGAAAAAAGGTGAGGTAAGTACTGTGGAAGTAGTCCAATATGACATACAGTGTGATCATGACAGTTTGAAGTCAGAAGTCAACTGCCGGTTAACAGACTATTTGTCGCATGAGTATACGTTGCCTAGGGTGCACCACGTGAAGGTAAGTCTATCGTATACCCCTTTTTTAAAGTATGACATTAAATATCTTATATAATAACAAGTATAATTGATAATTCCATTCCTTTGGCCATGAGTGAGAATTTTGATCCGAAACACCTATTCTTGCCTGTAATGAAGTTGCAGAAAACTTGAAACATTCCCATTGGCCAAAAAGATCTGCCTAGTGTGAATAAATCAATAATTAATTACTTGTGAATTTCTGGATATTATGTTCTGAGCAGTACTTTCTGTGGTTTTATGGAAAAAAGAGTTATCAGACTTCAAAGAAAGCACACATTTTGAGATCATGAGTATTTAATATGAAACAGCGCGTTTGACTACTTTTAGCAGATATGATGAAGCCTAAAAACGAGACGTCTATGGAACTAAATCGGGTTGACTTAATTGAGGGTACATATGGTCCCTCTTACCAGCATCATTGTACGCATAGATCGGCACACCTGTGGGGTCACCTCATCAAGG